TTACTATTGTAGAAGAATAACAAACTAACAACAACACAATACTATAAGTAAGAATAAAAGAGACAACTTGCACAAATAATTTGTCGATGTTATTCTTCTGAAGTACAACAATAAATAATGACTTTTGTTGTTTACAAGAGAAAATAAGGATGATGAATCGATAGATTCCATTTGTCAATAGTGAATTACTTGAACAATTCGAGTGAATAAAAATGCATAAAATAATTGAATTAAACCAACAAAAAGATAAATTCATTGAGGACTACTCTGTTTTTATAATTAAGGAAAAACATCGTTTCTTTTCAAAAAGTTTTTATTTGTTTATTAAAGATTAAAGCAAAGAATTCTTGGAAAAAAGTCTTTTTAATGAACTAGCTTGATCGATTTCAATCATTTTGACTCTCACTTAAACAACGTCTTCCTTCAACTAAATTCATCAAAAATTATTTGAAATAGGAATCGAAGATTTTTTTCACGAGAATTCTTCTTCTTCCTTGATCAATTAAATAGATTTGATCAGTTTTTCCAATTTTTGGTGAACGTGTGCAATTATTATTGTTTCTCGATATCTGGATCTTCAAGAAAAGACGTTTTGAATTCATTTCTCGAATTTAAAGCACTTGTTGTTTCATCTAAAATTAATGTTGAATGTTTTCTTAATAAAGTTCGAGTTAATGCATGAGATTGTTTTCCTCCTCCGCTCAATTCAATTCGATTTTCATCAATCAATCTTTGATATTTCTTCAAGAGCAACAAAAAGCGATTTTTCTTCTTTTCAAAGAAAGGAAGACAAATGATTAGATTTCGAAGTTGAAGAATAAATTGATGAACATCGAGTTGTTCAACATCTGATTGTGTTGCATTGATATGCTCATAACAAAGATTTCCTAAAAAGAACCTTTTATCAGGGTTAAAAGAGAAATGATTTTTGACTGATTCTTGTTGAACACACCAATTTGTTTTCGATATTGTTGGAGATTAAATTGATCAAGTATTGTTGAATAATAACGAAAAAGAAATGAACTGATTGTTGATTTTCATAAAACGATTTGAATATTTGAAAAGAAAAAGAGAACCATTTCTGCTGACGAATGCTGGAATTTGTCCAAAATGGAGATTTTTAAAAATTTTTATTTTTTTGACGTCTAATATTTGTCGGCCAAATGAGTCGTCGGCGAAGTGTACATGTCGGCCAAACAATTTGTCGGCGAAATGGTGTCGATCAAGTGATGTGTCGGCCAAGTAATTGTCGGTCAAGTGACCCGGATCCGACGAAACATATATCACGAACAAGAGAAGATAATACGTATAGAAAGAAAACAATAGAAAAGTACAGAGATGATATCGAACATAATGTATGTATATGAGCGACCTCGATTAAGTCACTGTAACACACCCACACCCAGAATTTCCAAGCTCTAAGTGATTTTAATTCCTGCACGAATTAAAATCACTTAGAACTTGAAAATTCTGGGAATCTAATCTGTACTAAAAGTTTGAATTTTGTGAACAAACCTAAATTTTGATTTGGTTTTAAACAATCAGGTTAGAATTTTAGTTGAAAGTTTAAAATGCTATAGTTGTATAGATAATTTTTATTTTATTTGATTAGTTATTAATCACAAGAATAGGCGGAAGTAGAGTATTAATCATAGAACATTGATACAGAGACATTTATACATCATTCTTTTGTTTCTAGTTACCATTGTAACGAAAAGTTAGTCACAATATATGAATTTTGCATTCTGTATTTGCATAGCCAGAGTGACTCACATGTACACACACATTGTTCTGCATTTTTATCGTGAAATTTTACGTTACACGTTGAAATTACAAAGATATTCACTAGTCGAAAAACATAACGTTATTTTGTTTTGATTTTTCTTTCGCTTATGATTGGCTGACTTGTGAGTCATTTACGAGTTGTGTAGATATTTTAAGATATCTTTTCTGTTTTTTGATTGTTTATAAATATATTAAGGAACGTACATAACTGTCGTTTTCTACTCCTTCGATCGGACAAAATAACTTATGGCTTCTGAAAATGATTGGTACACAGTAGCTTGCGGAGCACGTAGATATTCATTACCCGTACGATATCACCAATTAACTCTTATCGAAAATGGTGGTTTCAGCGATATTATGTAAGCTAATTATAAACAGTTATATTATGTTTTTCTAATTGTTGAACTTCTATTTAGGCGTGCTCAAGATACAGTATGCGTTATGAAGGAAATAATTGCACAGATAAAATTAAATTATGTTTTTGGCAACGGGTGATTATGTAGCTGTCAAAAAACTACTTAGACCGTTTGATAACGAGTTAAATGCAAAAATAACATACCGAAAACTTAAATTGCTAACTTATCTCAATCATCCTATTGCAAACGTATGTAAAATGGAAATAGTGCTACAGTAATAGATTTATTCTATTTTTTAATGTAGGTTGAAAAGTTGTACTGGATACTTACACCGGAGAAAATTTTCGACAATTTTCAAACAATGTATGTTAGAAAACTATATTTATCTAACGCATGTTTTCTTTTTCTGCATAGTTACCTCATCTGCGGTTTTCCTAATCCACGGAGCCGTCAGAGATGCACCTTGGATCAAGTTGTGAAATATGTTAAACCAATAACAGAGAACCATATTGTATTTATTGTCTATTCTATTCTTAAGGGTCTGAAGGTATTGAGACATTTGCTATAATGTCTAAATATCACAATCTGTTTATTGTTTTCTTTTTCATTTAGTTTATTCATTCAGCTGGAATTACTCATTGCGTGAGTGAAAGAGAACAAAAAACAAACTTCATGCTAAACTATTGCTAATTTTGTTATTCAAATAGAATATAACGCCGGACAATATTGAAATTGATGACGAAACAAATGTTACAGTAAGTATTGTACCTGTTTCAATGACACAAACATAAATTGCAAAGTCGGACGGATATATTGATTATTAAATATTTAATAGTTCTATTTTACATGTTATGTACAATTTATTTGAATTTATCATCGTCTCTGATATTCCTAAAGTTAGAGAAATTTTTTTTCATGTAATTTCGGAGACGGTGCTTTTTCTCAACTTTCGACGATCTGTTTCACAATGAACCGGCGAGTAAATACTTAGCCTAATTACATTAAATCCGATTTTTACTACCAATACCCGTTTATAATAACGAGTGTCAGAAATTTGATTCCCAACTGCCATAGAGGTGTTCCAAAAAAAGCCATATTTAGCACCGAAGTCATAATTTAAAGTTATACGATTTCAAAACTAGATGGAGGTATCAGGTTGTATTAATCTAACACACTGATACCAGCTCTAATATAAATCATCAATAGTCGAGTTCATTGGTTTATGTATTGTGGGAGCATTAAATAACAAGAAAATCACCGACAAGTACAAATTTATACATACCCATCATTGCAAAATTTCTTTCTATTCGTTTTTGCTTATTGAACTGAAACATGTATTCTATCAATTAAACAGAGCTATATTTCGAGAACAAATGAAAAAATGTTTTTGAGAAATTTGTTTTTCAAAATTAACATAGTAGAATAATCTTGCTCTCCTCTGTCGTCCTACGGACACTTCTGCTTCAAAGTATAAAATTAAAATCTAATTTTAAGAGACATTGCTAATGATTCTATCTACTGATATGATTCTATAGATTTGTAATTTTGATCTGGCTCGTAATGCATCAATCGATTTCGACCCTAGATATTGGACACATCGGTTTGTCAGCAAGCTAATTTTTATATTAAAAATACACTAGTAATTCTTTTGATTAGAGGATACTACGCACCAGAAGTAGTAACTGAAGGGGACACAAGCAATCCAAAACGTGATATCTGGTCTGTTGGATGTATAATGGGAGAATTAATACGACGCAAGACAACTTTTCAAGGAACTGATATTTTAACAGTATTACAGGGAATACTTAATTTAGTCGACATACCAGATATAAAGACATTAAATGAAATATGCTCTGAAAGTTTGTATTTAAAAACAAGAAACTCATTTTTCTCATAAGATATAGACTACTTTTCGAAAAATAGCAATTATTTTTCATTAATAGTGTATATTTGAATCTTGCTTAGTCATTATCATTTGATGTGTCGAATAGCTTAAGATAAATGCAAATTTTAGGAGCTGTAAATTATATTAGCTGCATAATAAGTAGGAGACAGAAGCAAAACTTTGATGAATTGTTTTGCTATCAATATGACCCAGAAACAAAGGAACTTATATCTGGTGTTTCATCGACAGGTACACATTGAGTAAAGCATGACAAATATACTATCATTTCATTCTAGGCATTGATCTACTAAAATGTTTGTTATCTTTTGATTATCGACAACGTCCAACTGCAGTAGAGGCGATTGGTAATTGATCATAAGAAAGTTATGTATCATATTTTTGTACTGTAACTTGCACTTTTCTTTTTTAGCACATCCATTTCTGAATGAATATCGTTATCCTGATGAAGAACCGACTGTGGCACGCATGATTGACGAACACTTCGATGCACATTATGGTGTCTCAAAATGGAAATGTAAGTTGTTCAAATCGATAATTTCTCAGGTCGATGTTTCTATTCACTTACTCGATTCTGCTTTTTTAGTTACTAAAATTTCTCGTGTCTTTTCGTAGAATCCTGCCCGTATTTTTCGACATGTAGTGAATGATCAGATTTTTAATAGTAAATTACTAAATGATTATTCTTTTTAACATTAATGAATTTCTAAGTCTCTACAACTCTAACTAGCAAATCATTCGTTTCTTCGATTATATTATAGTGATTTTCATGAGATTCTTCTTTGAAAATGTTTCCAATCAATCATCGCAGTAAAAGAAGGCAATATAGGAATGAGATAGTAGAACAAATATTCAAATAAGAAAAGAATACAGGTTCACATCAATGCCATCGAATAGAAGTTTTTTCTGAATGATACTTAATCAATAAATTATATTCTAAGTTGATCTACGATTTGACTTCTACTTTTCAGAAAAAGTTCTATTTTTGAGTTTGTTCTAGAATAATTCGTAGATATTGAGCAATACACGTAAAGTGTTATCATATCTTGAGTTAACTCCTACACTACGATGGAATTTTAAAGTAGTCTTTTTCAGTACTAAATGTGCCAGTGCTTCTTTTAACTTTAAATAGTGATTTTAACTAATTTTTCTTGTATGCTTCATCAACGTAAGCTTTCCAATGCAAACAAATAAAATTAAGTTAGATCTTCTGCACTTTCTTCTACGAAAAGAAACATTAAGTTTTTTTTTGGAAGGTGTTGACAAGCAACTTGTTCGTTTTAGTTTGTCTGCCTTCCCTATGATGAGATGAAGATCAAAATTTTTATTCTATTGTCTGTGTACTATCGTAACATTTAATAAGTGCGATGTTCTTAAAAATGTGCCACTGGACATGAATCAAATTCAATAGATTTCAAAGTAGAGTAAATAAGATCACTGTATTGTACTTTCTTTTAGAAGTGAATAGTCTCCTTTTTTTAATTACCCATAAATTAGTAAGAAAAAAGTCTAGAACTTTGATCAAAGTTCTAAAAAGCATTAGAGAGATATCGAGTGAAAAAGTTTTAAGAAAATCAGAAAAAATATGCAAAAAACGATAAATAGTAAGTCGCATAGTCTAGACACTGATAATTTCTAGTTTGTTTTTAGAAATTCGCAATCGAAGCCCAGTATTCATTGGGCTACAAAAATGTATCCCATTCTTTGTGTTAACAGTCAATTTATTGCTTATACTTTGTAAAAATTTTAAAATTGTGGATTTCCATACACTGTCATTTGTTTTGGGATTATTTCTTGATTTTCTTTTTAGTAGAAATAGAAAATTATAAACTTGATCGTAAATCAAAAGGTAATCACTAGAATCAGTCCAACTGAATTCTAGTCGTATTCGACCAACTGATTTACTAGGTTTTTAGAGATTTCGATAAGCAAAACAACTTATCTGATGTGTCATTATGTAACAAAAGAATATAGTCAACATCATCACGATGGTTATGCATGATTTTCTATTGATACGAAGTTAGTATTATCTGCAAATTTTTAGAAAGTTTTCAATACATGATCCAAAGCTTTCCCGTTGAGAAGCAAAAAATTGTCACTCAATTTAGGTATAGATAAATTTTAAATATTTATTATCATTTTAGCTCTCATTTGGGATATAATTCAAAATTTTTCTCCGCCAATTTGGGTTGATGATAGTCCTGATGCAGGAGCATAAAAAATAATATGTTTGACAAAAAGCATTATTATCGAAGAACCATGGCCCATTATTGTTTTTTTCTGACTGTTTTTTGTCTATTTTTAAATAAAGAACTCAATTAAAACTTCAAGAAGATTGAATAGAAAATATCGTTTTTCTAAACGCGCACAGATACAAGTGTAAGTAAAAAGATCCACATCCCCACCCACACCCGTGATACAATCATGTAAGAGTTATCTCGTTTTGTCAGAATCGAGATCGTGCTCATCTTTTTAGAACTCTTCTTACTGATAGATAAAAAGACTACAATAAGCAAATTAGTTTGGGGTGTGGGTGTGGGTGGGTGTGGTGTGAGTGTGGGTATTGTCTCTTTGTGCCCACACCCTCATTAATTCCATACAAGCATCAACTCTGTGTTGGTGCTGGTGTGGTGACAAATCATGTGGTATCCAAACTCCATATTTCCACGTTTTGCCTAATTCGTGCAGATGTGTTTCCACTGTAATATGAGAGCACCCAAGACGCTCTGCTAAACACCGTCTAGTCAATCTAGGATCTTCTTCGATAAGTTCCTTTAAGAGATCCATATCCACCTCTAGTGGTCTTCCAGTATGAGGTAAATCATCGAGTTCGAAGTTACTGTTCTTGAACTGATTGAACCAATGTTGCGCTGTACGAATGGAGAGCGCATCCTTGCCCATCGTATGGCATATGTTGCTTGTTGCTTCTGTTGTTTTGTGACGCAGACGGAATTCATGAAGCAGAAGCACTCGGAGCTCTCTGCGAGATATCTTCATTTCTAATTCGAGATCGGCATGTATATCCATAGTTTTATTGTTGTTCGAAAGCTATTTACACTCCCTTTATATACCCTTAGTATGGAAACTTCTAGAACTTTCTTGACTGTTCTAGAAAGTTACGAAAAAAAACGACAAAAATTTCTTCCGAACCCAATATTAATTCACACTCACACCCACACCCTCCCTTGAGGCATTAAAAATAGGTATGAGTGTAAGGAGTGGTTATGTATAAGTGTGAATGACGATGTGAGGTAAGAATGTGAGCCTTAGTCTTACACTTATACTGACACACTCACACGACAAATATTTTCGTCATAAAAAAAGCAGTTACGCTCGTGTCACAGATGTTAATTTTTCATTGTACCTTATGATACATTTCTTTATTCATCTACGTTTGGATTTTTTTACAATCAGATAAAAATGATTTTCTCTCTAAGTATGCTTGCATTCATACAATACAACAGATATAATTCTTTGTATGAAGTGAATGTACTAATAGTTGTTTTTCTTTATTATTGATTTTTATTTATAATTTCTCTTTTACCATTTCAATACCTGTTCGCACATATTGAAGATGAGGATGATTTGTAGGTAATAATCGTTGACTGATATCTAGCGCACGTTCAAGAAAAGAGAGTGCTTTGGTGTAATTGCCTATATGGTAATGAACACTAGCAATGTTATTGTAGGATTTTGCCAAATCAAGATGATATGAAGGAAGTGTTTTTTCTCGAATTTCCAATGCTTTTTCAAAAAATGAAAGTGCTTCCGAATTAATTCCTTTATCTTGATACACTCTACCTATATTATTGTAGACAGTAGCCAGCACAGGATGATTTGGAGAAAAAGTTTTTTGATAAATTTCAAGTGCTTTATAATTAAATGAAAGTGCTTGAGAATTCTTTCCCATGTTATTGTATAATACAGCGATATTGGTATATATACTAGCAAAATCAGAGTGATCCAAAGGAAGGTTTTTTTCCAAAATGTGAAGTGCTTCCAGTTGAAACGAAAGTGCTTTGGAATAGTCATTTATTGACTCATACACCAAGGCTATGTTACTGTAGCAAGTAGCCAATGAGCGATGGTTTGAAGGAAGAGTTTCCTTACAGATTTCGATCGCTTTTTTATGGAATGAGAGTGATTTCGAATACTCTCCCATTTTTTCAGATATTCTAGCGATGATATTATATGACGAAATGAAGGAAGGATGGTTCGGTGGAAGCGATTTTTGATGGATCTCAAGTGATTTTTGATAGAATGAAAGTGCTGTTGAATATTGTGACATTTTTTCATATATCATACCCATGTTACTATAAGCGAGAGCCAACTCTGGATGATTTGAAGGTAAAGTTTTTTGTCGAATTTTAAGTGCCTTTTTCATATAAAAATGTGCTTCTGAATATTGTGCCATTCTTATGTATAACAAACCGATATTATTATAAGCAGCAGCTGGTAAGGAAGGAGGAAATAAAGAAACGGAACTTTCCTGTATTGAAATCGCTTTTTCGTAGAATAAAAGCGCTTTCGAATAGTTTTCCAGATTTCGATAAACTTCAGCAATATTGTTATAACTAGTTACTAATGCAGAATAATCAGAAGGATGTGTTTTTTCTTTAATCTCCAGTGATTTTTCATAATAGAAAATTGCTTTCTCATAGTCACATTGATGTTCTCGGATGTATCCGAGCTGATTGTAGAGCAACCCTCTCCTTTTTCCATTACATGTTTGTTCAAGCAATACTTTAAAAAAGTCCTCGGCTTTTTCATATTGACCTATACTAACTAACAATTTAGTTAACCGTTCCAATGCTGTTAATGCACTAGTTTGATTTCGTAAGTATTCTGTAAGTGTTTGAAGTTCTTGATCTTCATCAGCAGTTAATCTTAATTCTACTTGATAAAGTCGATTATTTCCATTTATACTAACGATGTCAACAATTCGAAAAATAGTATGCATCGAGAAAAGAATTTCTTGTTCGTTTTTGAAGTAACTAACATTATCAATAGCAGCGAATGGGGCTGACGAAACAGATGTATCGATAGTCATTTTAAAGAGAATTCCAATCAAATTAGGATCCGTTAGAGCAATTTCAGCAAATCCGTTTGCAATTTCACGATTCTCACTTGTAGATAGGAAAAAGTTAAATGAGATAAGTCCACCTTTTGTCTTCACCAATTTTTCGAAATCTATCTTGGATAAACCTTGTCCTCGATACACTATCAGTAATTCTCCATGATGATTATCGTATTGTAGATGATACAGTTCTTGAATTTGATAATGAAGATCACGAACAAAGAAGCCCATCTTAATGATTCTGTCAGCTTCCATAAGACGAAGTGCCCGATTCAACATAGAAAATATAAATGCTGGATAAGTATACCACAAAATGGCAGCAGTTGAGCAATATTCGCTCTCGAATTTACTAATATTACTCAATGATCCATAGTCACCATTGCGACAGTAAGCTGTAAAATCATTAATTGATTGTTGATTATAATCCATTTCGAGTAAAATCTCTTTAAAAATTTGTGTATACATGAATAATGGTTCTAATTGATCTAAGTTCTCATTAATTGTTCCTTGATTATTTGGAATAAAACTGAGTGGAATTAAATTTTGATCACATTGTTTTGCAGCTTGCTGTAAAGCTTCACAGATAGATGTAATTTCTGTGTGTATACTCTTGATTTTTGGCCATTTTTTGACCCATTCTTGATCCATGACTTTTTTATCACCAAATATATATATAGAATCCAATAAAAGTGTTTCATGAATATTCGGCATTATACATTCAACCAACATTCCTGAAATAATCATAAATACTTTATGGTGATCGATATCGGTAAGAAAATCAACACATTGATCAACGTCAGTGAAAATATTAATATCACTAACGATATTTCGAAGTTGTTCGTAGATATTTGGAAATTCATTCTTGCATTTATCAATATTGGGATCTAACCAAATCAGACAGTAGTTTTGAACTGTTAATCGTCGTTGTTGAGTGTTGACAATTTCGGACAAAGCTAGTATTTTTTTTGAGTTATTTTCAGCCATTTGCTTACGATAAGTCTATATCACAGATATGAAAGTTTGTTGCTTAAAGTGAAGTATAAAATCATATATTTATTTATGTCACATCAACTTCCTTTTTAAATATACTTTCTATGGCGTAGAATATTTTTTAATGTTATCATTCAAAGAGACGTTTTACATGGTTTCTATCAAATCTACTACTGATGAAAGATAATGACACAACAACGAAAACATTAATAACGTTAGAAGGAAAGAAAAAAAGCCAAATATTGACAAACTTTTTTTGTATTATGATGTTTTTAAACAAGAAGCTTATAGAGTGGAGCACGTGTGGGGAGTGTGCAGTTTGAAAGATTTACATAAGGATTATGATTGTGGGTCTGGGTGTGGACTTGGTTGTGATTGTGATTGTGGAGGTGGATGTCAGTCTTAACGCATACCTATTCACATCTATACCCTCACTTTCAAAGAATCATATCGAACTTGCTATTATTCATAGCAATATGGCTGATTGTTTGACATCTATTGGACAGATTAAAGATACATTAAAACATGGTGAAATAGCACGTGATATTGCGCATCATACGTTGTCACAGGGTCATCCCAATTTAGAAAAATTCGAAAATGATGTTATTCAATTACAATCAATGTTATAAATTGATGTTTTTCGACTAATGGTATTACAGACTGTTGTTCTAGAACTGTCATTGAGTTTTGGGTGTGGGTGCGGGTGTGGGGTGGGGTGTGGGTGTGGGTGTGGGTGTGAGTGTGGGTGTGGGTGTGGGTGTGGGTGTGGGTGTGGGTGTGGATGGGTGTGGGTGTGGGTGTGTGGGTGAGTATGGATGGAGATATACACCCACACCCACACTTACACCCACACTTACACCCACACGCACACTCACATCGACACCCACACCTACACCAACACCACTCACCCACATCCACACCCACACCCTTTTCATTCATTCCTTGATCAGTTCAATAATCATATTTCACAAAATGTCTGACAAATAATTGTTGCTAGTGGCACGGCAGCTTTACAATATATTCAATCGAATGTTGATCGAACAACAAAACTATTGAAGTCTTCATCAATTCTTCATTTCTTCTAAAAAATCAATTTGATTTGTTTTATACAC